CAGCTCTCAGAGTGAAGCGAATACCAAAACACACTGTGAAACTTAGTATTAGCATCTCCTGGCGCATCTCTCATGTTGCTCTTTCATATGCTCCATCTGTCCCTATTTGCTTAGCACAGTCCTTATTTGGAAAGGAACTTATCCCAAAATTTCCTTTTGTAGGCATTCCATTTTAAAATATTTGCACTTCTGCAATAATCCAGCTATTCTTGAGGGCTTTTACAAATCTCTAGGGGTTAAATCTCTGGGTTGGAGATAGACACAAGTGTTTGTAATACACTTGTGTGTGAACTCACTAACATGTAGACTTTGTCTAGTGCATTTCCTGCCATCAGAGAGAATACTGTGCTTATTTGTTTATTTAATGCATTTTAATCCCAGGCCTCAGCCAGAAAGATTCTTGGAGAGGCTTAGATGCTATCCAGAAGGACAAGGCAGTCCTTGCCCATAGGCTTGCCATTAATAAAACAGGGGTGTTGGGCCTCTTTCAGTTCTGAAGAAAATTTTGAAGGCCGCATCCCAGTGATGCACAGGGCCAAGGGCAAAAAGGGGTTGGGGCCAAAATACCAGAAATACCTAAATATCAGCATATTTTAGCATTAAGCTGGGTACTGCTAATAATTAAGGTCTGCGAGAGGCATTTCAACCTTTTCACATGGAGGGAAGAGCAAAGACTAGGAAATCACCAAATATAGTTGGGGCCAGGGAAGAGGTGCATGGTCACATAAGAAATCCTGAAGGACCAGACAGGGATGCTAGACAGAATGGATTTGGCCCATGGGGTGGAGGTTTAGTGCCCCTGATCTAAAAAGGCATGGCAAGAAGGGGGGCAGAGCGGGGAGCAAGTGACCTTCAGCAAGGCTGTTGTGAGGATCCTGCTATCCATCTCTCCTCCTGGAATTTCCTAACACAATCCTCTTTTTGCTTTTAAATCCTTGCTACTATTAGTAGTAGCAGCAATGCTATTACTATAATTACATGGCATTTGTATCCCACCTTGTTTCTTCTTAGGAAGAAACCAAGGTGGCTTCCTTGGTTTCCAAATTCCTCTTCCCCGTTTTACCATCACAACCCTGTGAGGTAGGATAGGCTGAGAGTTATGACAGGCCTAAATTCACTCAGTGAACTTCATGGCTAAGTGAGGACTAGAAACCAAATCTCCCTGGTCACCAGTCCAACACTGCACCACACTGGCTCTGAAAATATATTTTGGTGCACTTCGGAAATAGCACTGCATAGTGCATATTTTATATTTCAGGATTTGTTCCTTAGTACAGAACAGATAGAGCACCAGGGAGAAAGTTATTTGACTAAGAACATGTTGCAAACATTGAATTGCTGCTTGAGGCTGTGAAGGTACTGTATCTACATTTGGTTTTGTTACAGAACTGAGATCCAAGCACCATATGAAGTGTTTCCTTTCCTTGTTAACTGCTGGATAACCTCTAGGTGGCACTGTGGCATAATGCATTTACACAGAGAAAAATGGCTTTCCTTTGCTTTCACAGACAACACATTTTCCCTGCTTTGAAAAACTTGCCAGAAGTGCTGCTTAAAAACAGACACGGAACTGGAAGATCACATTGTTGTAAACCTGTAAACAAGCCTCAGTAAGGAGTGACAGGCGCGCAATAAATGCCTCATGTAGAAAATCTCTCCATGGTCAGGCAGTAGCTTGAACCAAGGTTTTCCACAGCTACCTTTAAAAACTATATTTACTGTTCTGTATGAGCCCCTAGACAAAAATGTATTTTGCAGCAAGTATGTTACTGGTAGTGTGGGCCTACATTCACAGCCAGGTTTAAAAATCTAGCCTTGGATAAATCCAAGAAGTCATTGGAAAATGTGGAATGCTTTGCCTAACCTTTTGCCTTGTAGATGTGTTGGCCTACACATCTATCATTCTCAGTCAGCAAGGCACCAGGTTGGGTATTCTGCATACCAAGGGTGAGCAGCTGTTTTCATAAACAATTAAATATAAACATTAAATGTACCCATGTGCTCAGAATGTATGTCAAAGGCTCAAACACCTTTTCTTCATGTTGTTTTGCCCCTGTTTTGATATTGTTTGCTGCTTTTATTGTTCTGGAAATATTTTACACTGAATAACAGGAGAAAATTATATCCAATAAAGAATGGGATCATATTTATTTATCTATCTGAACAAGGCTCGCAGAAAGTGGGCTGCATTAGAACAGTAAGATTAATAATAATATATAGAACGCATATGTGCAGGCGTGCACATGTTTCTCATGTGCTGAAAAAAAATGCTATAGTTAAAACAAGCATAAGCAAAGAACTACCAGAAGTCCAGGCAGGGTTTCGAAGAGGCAGAGAAACTAGAGATCAAATTGCCAACATACGCTGGATCATGGAGAAAGCTAGGGGGTTCCAGAAAAACATCTACTTCTGCTTCATTGACTATGCTAAAGTCTTTGATTGTGTGGTTCATAACAAATTGTGGCAAGTTCTTAAAGAGATGGGAGTACCAGACCATCTTATTTGCCTCTTGAGAAACCTATATGCAGGTCAAGAAGCAACAGTGAGAACTGGACATGGATCCACTGATTGGTTCAAAATTGGGAAAGGAGTTCGGCAAGGCTGTATAGTGTTGCCCTGCCTATTTAACTTATATGCAGAGCACATAATGAGAAAGGCGGGGCTAGGTGAATCACAAGTTGGAATTAAGATTGCTGGGAAAAATATCAACAGCCTCAGATATGCAGATGATACCACTCTAATGGCAGAAAGTGAAAAGGAACTAAAGAGCCTCTTGATGCTGGTGAAGGAGGAGAGCGCAAAAGTTGGCTTGAAACTCAACATTAAGAAAACTAAGATCGTGACATCCGGTCCTCTCACTTCCTGGCAAATAGATGGGGAAGAAATGGAAGTAGTGACTGATTTTATTTTTTTGAGCTCCAAGATCACCGCAGATGGGGACTGTAGCCAAGAAATTAAAAGACACTTGCTCCTGGGGAGGAAAGCTATGGCAAATCTAGATAGCATACTAAAAAGCAGAGACTTCACCCTACTGGCAAAAGTGCGTATAGTCAAGGCTATGGTTTTCCCAGTTGCAATGTATGGCTGTGAAAGCTGGACCATAAGGAAGGCTGAGCGCCGAAGAATTGAGGCCTTTGAATTGTGGTGCTGGAGAAGACTCCTGTGAATCCCTTGGACTGCAAGGAGATCAAACCAGTCAGTCCTAGAGGAGATCAACCCTGACTGCTCTTTAGAAGGCCAGATACTGAAGATGAAACTGAAATACTTTGGCCACCTAATGAGAAGGAAGGACTCCCTGGAGAAGAGCCTAATGCTGGGAACAATAGATGGCAAAAGAAGAAGGGGATGGCAGAGGATGAGGTGACTGGATGGAGTCACTGAAGCAGTCAGTGTGAGCTTAAGTGGATTCCAGGGGATGGTGGAGGACAGGAAGGCCTGGAGGAATGTTGCCCATGGGGTCATGATGGGTCGGACACGACTTCGCGATTAACAACAACAACCCTAACCATTTTCCACGTGAACTTTTGCAACTTCCTAACCTGCATGTTTGTAGCTGCAGAGGAACATCACGTGCCACACAAGTGCATTTTAAAATGTTGTACGAGGGGACACTGCATGACTCCATGCTGCTACAACTCTCCTTCCACCTTTTTTGAGAGTGACAGTGTATGAGCAAAGCCAGTCAGAAATGTCTACGTTTGTGAAAATGTGTTGGCTGTTAGGTCACAAAACATTAAAAGTGCTACCTTTTAAAAACCCTTTGCTTTACTCAGCCTTTAAAGAAGCCCTTAAACTGTTGGTGAAGGCATAGACCAGGGATGGCCAACCCAAGGCTCACAAGCCACATGTGGCTTTTTGAGTTTCCTTTATGGCTTGCCACCATTGCCGCCACCCGTTGCCCACTTGTCGCTTGCCTGTGCTTAGTGCCCTTGCAGTATTCTCCTTGCAGTGAGGTGCAGTTAAATCAGATCTCTGATCATCTGGTTTACTATTTTGCCCCACCTGTTCAGTCGAAGCAGGAAACTATAGGTAGGATAGGCCTCCACCACTGCTTCTTACCACAGGTGGAAGCCCAGCCTACCTACATACCTGCTTGGAGGGCCAACTGGACGGCCGCTCTTTTCCTTGTTTGGCCAGATAGTCCAGCTGGCTGCTTGCCACTCATTCTTACCTTGTGCTCCAGGTGAGGGACTCCCAGAAGAGATCAGCTGAGTGGGTGAGGAAGCAAGCGGGTTGGTGATGACACTGTGGTCTTGCATGAAGGCTAATGATCTTGGTCCAGGCCTGGAAAGAGGGCCTTCTTGGTCGCTACTCCTTGGTGAAGGAAATCCTGCTCACTTCTTTTACACTATTCTTGTGTTTTTAATTGTTTGCAATTGTGTTTAATGTTTTATTACTGTTTTAATCATGTTTTCCTAGTGACTGTAAGGTACCCTGAGTGCCATGTTTGGTAGAATGGCATGTCACAAGGCAAACGAATAAATACTTTTAATTTTAATTAAAAGTAATTTAAGCCTACAAGGGAAACTGTGCCCCTGCTTGAGCACTCAGAGGAATTTCCTTTCCTTATTCCTCAAAGGGATGAGTGCCGCCTAATTAGAAAACACAAATCATATATACTAAACATTATGTGACCTGGGGTAAAATATATGTATTATTTTAATTTTAAAAAAGTTTTTGCAAATGATGGCAAAATATAAAAGAAATGCAACACTTGATTGAAGTGATGATGAAAGTGTCTTTATTTTCTCAGCAAGATATGAAATATCCAACATGTAAAGTTTGAGCAAACTTCAAAAAGATTCATGTTGCAAAAAATGAGGTGTAAAACAGAGGGGGAAAATGCCAAATTGTGCCTGCATTAAAGATTCCACAACTCCTTTCATTCTGAAATTACTTTGGCAAGTAATTCCATGGATCAAAGCTGGATTCCACATATGTTCGTCTATTAATGAGGTGCTTGGAGTATAATTACTCATACCTTTTTCCTCTGTTAACAGCTGAGCGGAAGCGTTCTCTAGGCAAAGACTACCATCCGCTTTGTCTGAAGTGCTACCACTGCAAACGGCAGCTCAGTCCCGGCCAGCATGCTGAGGTAGGGAACACACCACCACCCCCATCTGTCAGCTTCCCAAACTTGCTAAACCCTGACAGCAATCTGTCTCTCCCGACAGAGGCCTCTGCTCTCACAGGCCTGCCTCGGATTGGGTTGCCAGACACCCAGGAGTCTAGAAGTGAGTCAATGTGATGGCTGGGAAGAGAGGAGGAAGTGGAAGTGATAGAAGCAGACACAAATTACAGCTGCACTGGAAATAGGAAAAGGCAGTTGCATGCTCTCTGTGTCGGTGTGTTTCTGGATGTGCGTACAGGGAAGATCTACATAGTATAAGGGCCTCAAATGTAGACGTGCATGTGTGTACCCTACAGATCATTATGTAATGTGCCAGGGTGCATGCCATTCCTGGATTACTATCTGTTTTGGCCAGGCTCCAGAGAATCACAGTGTGTCCTCTTTTGCTCTTTAATACAAAAAAGCAAAGAGGTCATGCAGGGATGCCATAACAAGGGAGGCCAAGACTACCTCTTGACCTGTTCCTCTAGTACAGGAGTGCAGAAACTTAGGCCCAGAGACCTAATTCGTCCCCCATAGTCCCAGTCTAGATGGTCCCACACTTTCCCCTGCCCCCTTTTCCTTCAGCCACCAATCATTTGGTGGTCTCCTGGCTTTTGTGCAAGTTTTTCCCTGTTCCAAGAGACTGAAAAGCCTCTCTTAGGGACCAACAATAAGAGCTTGCTGCTGAAACACATTGGTGTTTTTTATTTTGGCCCTACACCGTCACCTTTGCCCCTGCCCCTTCTACCAAGGGAGAACATGATGGACCAAAGAGCTATAAGAAATGGGATCAGAAGGAGATTAAACACCCTGTTCTGTGGCACAATGACAGTCAAAGATTATTCCCTCTTAAGTATGTCCCAGATTGCATCAGGCAGACCTTGAATCATGGAATTCATCCGCTGCTATTGAGAATCGAAGCAGCCCTTATTTGATTAGCCCCATTCCATCATTTGTATGGCTCCACTCCAGTGCACAATTCTTAAGTAGGACAGAGTGTGAGGCAGAGTGTAGGTTGTGACAGGATACCTTTATGTGTATACAGAGACTAGCTGAAGGTTTGCCAAGTTTGATGGAGGAGGATGAGTCTGGACAGAGTTCCACATTCTCATTAATCACCCTAGTCTTCAGGAATCACCCCAGCAGATTCTGAGAGGATGCTCCGGATGCGCCAGTGAAAAGCTAAAAAAGCCCCACAGCACTGGCTGTAACAGCAGAGAAGAGAAAGGACAGATGGACAGCATTCAGATGGCTTGGTTCTCACAAGATGGGCTTTTACAGCACTTAAATACTTAACATCTATGATTTAAATTATCCTGCTAGGGTGCAGGCATAGTAATTGCAGCTGACACAAGCCAGTGATAATATTATGTAGCTTTCGATGGAACTAAGTTGGAGGCATCCGTGTAGAAATTTTGGTTCAGCAGTAAAAAGATTATCCCTGTCACTTGAAGTCAGAAAACAGCCAAGAAACTTGATTATTCTGTTTCTGGAAGGGGAGCTGTGAAGTGCTGGCTTCTCGTGTTGGATAATGGGAAAGGAGAATCGATTCCAATATGCTCCTTTCAGAGAAAACCCAAAGCAAGAGAATTCAGTTTGCCAACCCTATAAAGTGGTTTCCCTTCAGATATGTCTGATCCAGTTTGCAGCGTTAAATCAAGTTTTATTTGTGGGTTGTATGAACAATTCATAGTATATGGAACAGCCTTAATACATGCGCAGCTTGTGGTGCAGCCATGGGGTGGGGTGAGGTGGGGTGGGATGGAGAAGAAAGGCGACCATTTCAGCCGCATTTGAAATCCTTGGGGGGAATCTGCCAACACAGATGGAGCCTACAGAACCATTTCCTGAATTTTACAGATTCTAGTACCACCACCAATGGTTTTTCCTACATCAGAGAGCTCTAGATTTAAGAATATGTCCCAAGCATGTCTGATTTAAGTGGTAAAAGTCTGTTTGGGAAATGTGAAGAGGCAGAAAATGCATTCACTCACTCTCTTTACATTAATGGCTCAGAAACAACCACCTTTGGATGGAAGCTGAGCATTGTTGTCCCTATACACAAAAAAGGGGATATTTTGGACCCATAAAATTATAGACCACTAAGTTTATTAGACATAGTGGCAAAGCTTGATAACAAACATCTGTTGTTCAGACTGGAAGACTGGATGGCTGAAAAACAAATTCCTTAACCCGCTCAAGCAGGATTCCAGAAAGGCTTTGGAACCATCAGCCATTGCTGTACTCTGGTATAAATGGACCAACAAATGAACTTTAGTTTGTGGATCTTGGTGCTGTATTTGATTTCATTAATAGGGCCTGCCTTTGGGCAAAGTTAACTAAAATGAATATTGAAAAGTGGTTACTATTCCTGCTTCAAGAGCTGCACAGAGGCACCTTTGCTCAAATCAGAGTGGGAACTTCCGGCTCACTAACTAGCAGACTCCCTGTCAGTAAAGGAGTGAAGCAAGGTTGTGTGTTGGCCCCTTCTTTTTTCAATCTGTATATTAATGAAATAACAAAGATTTTGTGAGATTCCCAATTCTTTCCACTTTTACTGAACCAAGAGAAAATTTCAGTCCTGCTTTACGTGGATATGGTTTTAATATCTTTAACTAAAATTGGCCTGAGTAGACTCTTACATCAATTAGAGTGATGAAGAAGCTCTTAATATAAACTGAGATAACAGTAATGGTCTTCAGAAGAAAGCCCAAATTATCTTGCTGAAGTATCCTGGGCAATACAATCAAACTATGCCGCTCTTGGAGTAACTTTCATGAAGAGTCTGAACTCACCTTGCAATGATCAAATCTTCAGCATTAAGGATAGCAGGGTCCATTTTAATTTTTTTTCTATACAAAGGTGGATGCTTAGTTGACCCAGCATGGAAATTATTTATAAGCAAGGTGTCCTTCAGCTCCTGTATGAAACTGAAGCCTCAGGTTGGAAGGAAGATATTCTGGCTAATCTGGAAGTATTTCAGAACCAATTCTAGCCTTTCCCAGGGCTTCTTCTGCTTCTCTGATGAGAGCTGAAGTGGGACTTTCCTCTCTTAGGGCTTGGGTACACTTGGTGGTCATAAAATATGGGAAAAAGAACAAATCTTCAAATTTCCTATTCTTCAAGTTACCAAACAGACCACTTTCAATTCTCTAAAGACTCTGGGCATTCTGACTTTCCATCATTCAAAGATACACCATTCCAGATGATCTCTCAGGGGTCTCAGCTGCTCAGCTTAGGGAATGGATCTACAATTCAGATGCATTGCTAGATCGATTCTTTAAAATCTAAAGCAGATCCTTGGTACAAATTAATCAAATCTGATCACTCTAGATCTAAGTGTTTAGCCAGTATCTCCAATTATAAGGTCAGAGGGTCCATCAATGCTTTGTGTTTTCAAACCATGAAATGCTTTGTGTTTTCAGTACTTTGTGATTTCAAACCATGCAAACAGCTCTTTTGCCAGGTCATTATTCTCACACTTCAATAGAACATTGTGCATGCATTTGTGGTTCCCCTATAGTAGAGAACCTTCTCATTACATGATATCCTGCCCGCTATACTAAGCTCCAAGAGATAAATTTTTAGCTGGAATTTTATTTGCCATTGATGCATGCTCAGAATTTGAGAAGATTGTTTTTATGTTATCAGATAACCATACGTATGTATTCTACAGAGTGTCTCTTTGCTTTTGCACTATGAAGATTAGCTAGAAGGTGGCATCGAAGGGGGTAGCTAATTGATAGCAATTGAACTAGCTTTTATTTTGCTTTTATAATTATTTTTTCAATTTTAACATCTGTTCTTAATGAATTTTCCTGACTTTTCACTGTCTCTCTTGTAAATTTTATAACAGCCTATAGCTAAATACAATAAAACTTGACTTTCTCTTAAGCACAAGCCTTTATTGTGGTATATGTCAGTACAGGTAGGATAAGATTTGGTAAGCAATGGAGCCAATTCCGGAGAGGCATGTGCATGCCCTCAAGAAGTGTTCATCCATGCGCAGGATTGAATCAGTCTTGGCTCAGTTGGAGCCCTTTGTGTTTCTGCACCAGAACGTTCCCTGTGAGTTGCTCCAGGGAAATAACTCCTCTGAAGGTCCTATTTGCCTAGGTTAGAAATCTGCCTTTCTACCTTCTGCTGTCTTGATCTTGAGTCCACATGGACAGACAAACCAGGTTGACATGACGGTTAATAAGCCACAATGGCTTGTTAACTACTCTGTGTATGCCAATTGTATTGCAGGCTCTATTTATGTAATTACCCTCCTTGGTGCAGGTGGGTGGTTAACAGGCACCCCCTCCAGAAGTCGAGACCAGACCAACAGAGGTCTAGGGGCTTGTTACCTACCTGTTCTCACTGGGTTCAGGTGTCATGCCAAGCTGTGCCCAGCAAGGATGCTGCTGTAAATCAGGCCAGCATGTGATTGGCACTGGCAGGATGGTTAACAAGTCATGATCCTCAAATGGGCCCATGCACCCCATTGGATGCTTTGTGGAAATGCAAAGATGGCCCTTGGGACAGGGCTGGGGGGAAATTCCACTAGAGACCCAGGAAGCTACTGCCTGTCAGATCATGACAGACAACTGAGGTACTGAGCTGCACTAACCTAATCATATCCTCCGATGGAATATGATCAAATTAACAAAAGCACAGTCATTTTGTGAGACAGGGAGTTATTTTATCAACTTCTAGAACAAGCAGAGGTCTGTTTGGAAGGGCTAGGAAATATATCTTTACTGTAAGCCAATTACCTGCATTGCTTTCTACGGCTCTTTCATCTTAGAGCCTATACAACTTCCTCAAAGCAAAGCAATAATCTGATCTGTTGCAGCCCTGTACACAAATGTGTGTGTACGTACGTGGCAGCACCAAAGGCTCAGAAAGCTGGGCAAGAACTGCGTTGCTTCTCCTAAACAAGAATAGAATGGCAGTAGGAAACTCTACCAAACAAGCCACACTGACATCACGGCAAGCGTGTCTGGTTTAGGCCCAGTTCATGCATTTGGTCTGGGCATCTCGTTTTGCTGCAAGTGTGGCCTAGCCCCTCAGTCTGAGATGGTGCTCATTCTGAAGCTCAGTCTGCTTTGAGTGGCTTCCTATTTGAGTTCTTTAAGGAGGGGAACCATCCAGGCCCAGTGACTTAATCAACGTCCAAAGGGTCTGTGAGGCTGAGGATTGCATGCTTTGTCACCACCATTTGCCACAGTACCTCAGACTGCCTTCCTGAGCCCATCAGGTCAGGCACAGGGATCTGTTCTGTATCTCCTGCAATAAAGGCAGAAGAAAAGTATTCATTCAGCTTCTCTGCAATCTCTTTCTTTAGCACTCATCATTCTCATGATTGTGCAGTGGGCCCACTGCCTTCCAAGCTGGCTTCCTGCTTCTGATATATTTAAAGAATTAGCTGCTGCTTGACTGGTCCTCAAAATGCTTTTTTATTTTTTATTTTTTTGCATCTCTTATACTTTGCTTGTATCTCCTTAATGCATGCTTGTGCTTCCTTTTATTTCTTCACTAAGGCAAGACTTCTGTTTTCTGAAGAAAGGCCTCTTATACCTAATCACTTAGGGTGCACTCTGTGGGAGAATGTCCTAAAGGCTGTAGGGTTTTCTTATGGATTGTGCTTCCATTAGAAGGAAGCCTCTGATCTCAGAGGTTTTCAAATGTCCAGATCTCTGCCAAGGTCTAGCCAGAAGGGTAGAGAATCAATGGGGATCTTAACCCCGCTGTCCTCCCCTTTCGCTCCTTTATATGGACCTTTGAGCTTTCATGCCAGGGGCAAGGCTGGGGAAGTCATGGGATATAAGCCACCATTGCTAGCCTCCCACTCCCATCCCTGCTCCTTCCCATCCACATTCCCACACTCTTTTCCCTCACTCAGTGGATGTAGCTGGTGTGGTTCTTCCCATGGCAACTCCAAGATCGTAGAACATCAGAATTTGGAGTTGTCCCCCAAAGGTTGTAGCAGTGTCCGCAGCCTCAGAAAGGGGACTTGGAGAAATTCAATGGCCCTTGGGATCTGCTCTTCTGAGTTAAGAATACAATTTACTTTTTCCCATATACTTGCCCAAACCATGTGACCTTTAAATGGTCTCCTAAGAACCAAATCAGTGCTAGGGAGAGACTTCCATAATGTGGGAGCCACTCCTAAGGTGGCCCAAGAAGGCCAATCCTATGAAGGCCCTAACAAAGCCAGACTAAATTTCTGATCCTTGCTTTCAAATTCTGGCATGTTCTCAAGCCATAGTTTGGACATCCCAAGGAAATGTGGCTTGTTGAAAGCTGGAAAGAGTATTGGGACTCACCCCCAGGGAAATGGGACACCAAAAGTATGGGAGATCCACTGTTGTGACCCACCAGCAGCAGAACTCCTATTAGTTTAGCAGCCAGGCAATGTCCTCTGGGGTTGGAGTCTGAGCCTCTCCACTGGGAGGAACCCCAAGAAGCTGTGCAGGGGGCCTGTGGGACAGATTTCACCCACAGGATGTAGGTTCTGCCTCCCTGTTTTAACGTAATACTTTTTAATGTGCCTTATTATGGGTTTTTATCCTTGGTCATATTGTCTTTGCTTTCATTATATATGTTACCCAGAAAACATAAGCTATAGGATTCAAAAACACAACACATGCATTTATTTATTTATATATTTATTATAGATAGATATTGATTTCCTATTAGCACTGAAATGGTAAAAACTTCCCAGTAGCCCAGTAGGGGTGGGTAAAGGTTCAACATGAAAAGTAGCCAGTGGCCATCCATGATCAGAGACCAAAATTGTATTGTCTGCCACCAAATGCCTGTTGCGTGTGACACGAGTGATGAAGGAAAGCCCTTAGCAGATGTGTAACAACTCACCGTTGCTCCTCTGTTTCCACAGTTTGATGACAAGCCCTACTGCACCCATTGCTATCTGCAGCGCTTTGGACCAAGAGGTAAGTGTCTGCTCCATAACCCACTGCTCTGCAGTAGCAGAGGTCTGTCCGCAAGGCAAGAGGATGGGTGAGGAACCCCCATCTCTGGCTGACAACGGCCTTTCAGCAGATGCTGTCATACTTGCTGCTTCGGATTTCATAAATGATGCAACAGGCAAGCTGCGTCTGCAGCAGTTCCACTTGATCTGTGGAATTCCTATAGCCATAATGCAAAGGGAGCGTTGCTGTAGCTTGAGGGTGGACAGACTTCAGGCCTTTGGCTTGATGTGTACTAAATGTGTAGGTGCGTCCTTCACCAACACCTCATGTGCAGTTCCAGAGAAGCATCATCAGCAAATGTGCTTTGGTCCCCCTCCTTCACAGATCCACTGAACGATTTGGGGAGGTTGCATGATGCTTACCCATGTTCCACTGAACGGGCAGCTAAGGCTGGACCCCGGCGCCAGAATCCAGCAGCCCTGAGCCCCCCATGACCATTGGGTGATGGTGCAGTGGCCAACAGGCTTGGCTCCAGCTCATCATAGCATCTTTCCTCTTTTATTTTTCTAATTATTTAATAGTCAGGGGGCAGCCAGATGGGCAGGTAAGTAGTTAGTGATGCTTGTTTTAATAGCTGTAGTTTGTGTGTTTTTCCTATATGAAAAAACTGTACTTGTTCCCAAGGTTTTAATATCAGAGAACTGGTTAGAGAAACCTTCTTACTACTGTCATCATACTCGCCTGCAAACCAAGGGCAACTGAAAAGGCTCAAGCCCACAGGACAAAAACAAACGCACATATTTGCATATACTAATTTACCTATGTTCTAAAGTCTCTGGGTTTGTGTGTGAATCTTTAACAGAGTCTGTTTCCTAAGGACACTCCTATTTGAAAAAAGTGAAAGGAGGGCATTTGGTTTCAAGAAAAAAACCCTGAGATGAAAAGTTTCGGGGGGCAGCAAGAGGTGAGGCATATGTGAGCAAAAAACCAGCTCTTGCAGGGTATCAGAGGCAAGAGAGATCATCAATGCCCCTGTACCTTTATTTCAACATATGCCCATGGATAGGGTGGTGGGGCAGATGGCCCCCTGGAGATATGGAGCTCCAAGTAAAAATTTATTTTAGGTAAACTTTATGTAAATACATGTTTACATAAAGTTCCAGGACTCTGATCCTAGAGAGCCATCTCCTAACACCAGCTTATTTCTTCATTTAAAGCATTGCTTTTTAAATCAGGGAACACTGGGAATGGCCCACACTAATACAGATGGCCAGGTCAGCATAGCTGTATCATACTTACTCTATGGGAGTTTTCCTGAGATGTGACTTTGGTCCGTTGTAGACATTCTGAACAGCCTCTCCCTGCCCATTGTGATGATTGTTCCTTCTTGCTTTAGTGGAAGTTAAATCTACCAAAGCAGAGGAAAACCCTTGGTTTGCCTCACAAGCTCTTGGCAACAAGCCAACCCTCCTTCGGTGTATAGCATCTGGCATACAGGGGTGAGAAGAGTGAAAATGAAGAAGCTGCTAACTCGCCCTTCATCATGTAGTCAACCAGCCCTTTTCTCACTCTGGCCAAGGGGAACGCTGTGATGTTCATTGCTCTCCAGTTATGGTGGTGGGAAAGCCTAGCCACTTCTTGGGAGGAAATGTGCAGCACAATACCTTCCACTGCCCAGTGTCCTTGAGGGAAAACAAGTGGCCCAGTGGATAAAGTTTATGTACAGTATGTAGCATATACATTTTAAACCATGGTAAATCCTGTGATGAACGTAGTCCTGGCTTCTTCAAATGCATGGAATTTACCATTTGCTAATTTAGAATATAGTGGAATTGGGGGAATAACCATAGAGAGGTCTAGGGTAAATTTAATTTCTTCATTTGAAGCATTTTTACTCCTCTCTTTACTCCAGAAAGGCTCCCAGGATAACTGAGAAGTATCAGTAGTATTTTATCATAATGAACTGCAATTAACCTGGAAACATAGCCCATTGCGTTACTCTGTGCTTGTTGTTATTGGCCTGCAGAATTAGCACCTCATCTTCTGCCATTCTAGCTTTCTAAATTAGCAATTGGATCAGCATGCCCTTTCTTGATCCCTGGCCTTGATTCCTGATAAAAACTTATTTTAAAAAATATTAAGTGGGTCTGAGGCAGATATGCATATTTTAAAGATTTTTGGTCAGCATCACTATCCTAATCCAAGAATCCCAAACCCTTCTTGGATACTTTGCTCAGGGCCATTGGTTTCCGGTTTTTATTCCTTAGACCTTGCAAACACCAGTTTTCCTTAATCTAGTATTGCATTTAGGGTGCTTCCATAATTATAGTGTTTCTGTAATGCCATTGCCCTGCCCCATTCCAAGTTTTTTATGGCAAATCAAGACAGCCTTGGCTTCTGCTCAGCTGTTCCGTGTTTTACCACATCTCCCATTGCTTTCTGCACCATAAAAGAAACTGTTAAGCAAAAAAAAGACAAAATGCCTTCTTTGTTGCTAGGAGCCCTCCACCCAAAAGCACCTCTATTATACAGCTGGGAGTAGAAGAATGAACGTCTCTCCTCAAAGCCCACTTTTTCCTGAGGAACACCCTAGTTCCTATGATTTATTGTAACTAAGTAAACTTATGTGGGAGAGTAATCACACCGTCTTCCTCTTGCCGCCATTTTTCCTTCCATCGTGTTCTTCTGTCAATTGTATATGGTATGCCCTCTGGGGTGAGATCTGTCAAACTATATAGACAGATGGCTCTAGAAAAGGAAGACTAGTAATAGTAATAACAATAACAATAAATGTGAAAGAATGTCTACGCACACATACAGACGCACATTGTTTGGCGTGTACGACAAGACTTTTTCAGTGAGCTTTCCAAAGGCCTAGCTATGGGGCAACCTTGGCACAGTCTAAGGGAATTAGAAACCATGCCGTGATTTCTTCCCAGTACCAACAGAATGTCTCTCCAGAGCCACTTAATGATTAAGGAGTTTGTCGTACTTAATTCATACTTAAAAGAATACTGAATTGTGCATGCGGTCAGTTCTCAGTTCTTCTTTCCATTCCTCATTTATTGCAAGCTGTCCCAAGACATTTGTAGGGGACGGGATAGAAAAGATTTAAGTAAAAAATAAAATAAATGTGTCCTTCCCATCTGCCTTGTGCCAGCTTTCCCCATCCAGTTGGCCAGGGGATGCTGGGAGTTGAGTTCAACCTAGCTGGAGGGCACCCGGCAGAGGAAGGCTGCCTTGTGGCAGTTTCTAGATTCTGGCAGGACTTGTTTCTTTTATGCGTTATCCTCATCTCCGCGATTGTAGTGTTGCAGGGAGCTCTACTTGGCCCATGGACCTTACAATATCTTCACGCTAATCTGTGATTCCTGCATGATGATAACAATTCATAATCAAGTCTTCAAAGTGCATCACACACAATTGATGAGCAGGCTTTATGTGAAATTATTCTGACATCATTGCCAGTGAGGAGTGTGGGGCTTGCCTCCAATGGAACCTCACTGCCAAGAGATGGGGGGGCTGGTTCGTAAAACTGGCACAGCCCCCTGGCTATTTAAACCACACTGGGTTGCAGTGTGTCCCAAGGGCCATTTTGAACAAGCAAGCTGTGATGGGCGGACACTGTGGCTTATTGTGCCATGTGAACTCACCAAGGGAGGCACATGCAAGGGTTGAAAACCCCATACAGCAGCTTATGGGCTCGCAGCCTGTGATAAGTCATGCAGCTTGAATATTCAGAAAGGCAGCCAGCAGGTGCCACAATTTAAATCACCCAGATTGGGCTGCCGTGAGCACATGGTAATCATACAGCCCTAGTCCGACCATGTCATTGACTGCCAAGAGCTACATCTTCCCTCACAGGGAAGACAGAGCAAACACACACCTGCAAAGCAAAGCTTTTGCACTGTGGGTGCATCTGCTCCCGCTCCCTTCATTAGTTGCTTTTTGCAAGGTGAGGAAAGTCGCAGTACCACGACACGGTGCATGTTTAATTTACTGGATGTTACCCTGGGAGGAGACGAGACTTACTTTTGGCAGCAGCCACTTCCTAGCCAAAATGTCAAGTTTCCGCCCTAGGCAACTTTTAGTATTAGTACAATGCATAATGTTATCTGACTTCAGTGCAATCCCCAGCTGCTTACTATAGGTGTGTAAGCTGGAACTAGGTTGCCCATCTACAGCTTGTTATGTCAAACGATATAAATAATATTGGAGCTTATGTTCATTTAGGTTCCTCGTGAGACTGAGGAGTTCAGCTTGAGTCCAGGTTTTAATAGAGCACTTTGGCAGGGCTTCTGCAGAACTCTGAGCAGGCTTAATTTTCTGGCAAGAGGAATCTTTGATAAGGATTTCAAAGGAAGTGCCGCAGAGTAGGTTTTCGCACCATGTTTCACAACATAAATCTGTGTTTTACTTACCCAACTTTTGAATACTGAATGCGAGTTTCTACTCATGGCTATATTTTTCCTCTCCTGACATTAACAAAAAATATATTTTAAAGGAATGAGACCTTCAACAACTCGCTCATCATTTGGTGGATCTCCTTCAAAGGTTCCAGCGGAAATCCGAAAGTCCTCCTAAATAGCCTTCCTTCATTATATTACAGAAGTAGAAATCAATATAAGCTTTTATAAATATTTCTTAATAATTTTCCGTAACAACTTATAATCCTGTGGTTAAGACACATTGTGGAAATTTCAGTTGACAAACTTGCTTGCATGTGATTTCCAATCCAAACAGCTTTTGAAACTGTTTTAATTCTACCACTGCTTACAAAAGCCACTGTGAGATATATATTGAAGTACATAATGCGGCTTTTCTGTATCAGGCTTTTAACCCACCGCTTTCCCAAGGCATTTGCCTCCAGATTCTTTGTAGGAGTGGTTCCTTTACGCATGATTTTTTCCCAGTGAGGTTCTTTCTCAGCCTTTCCATACATTGCAAGGCACAAGCACTGGTGCCGCTGAGGTATAGTGGAACTGCGCAAATATAGTTATAATCTATTCATACTGCCATTCACGGATAAGACTAGTTAATCTAAAACAGGCTGCAAAAGTGGGCACAAAATACAGGATCGGCTCTGGAGGGTTGCAACCTTCATTAAAGCACCCACAATGTACGGTGAGCGTGGAATCAAGAGTACACCATAAATGCTTGTGCAGAATGGCTCATCCTTAGTGCTGGAGAGATGCATACCTGCTGGAAAATGGGGAAATATCCTTAATTGGATTAAAGGACGTGCCCATTCAATTTGTGTCGAGGATGTACAATAAAGCTCTGGTGAAATTGTCAATGTTGTCTTTTCCTTGCCCTCTATCCAGCAATCGCGTTAATGAATTCACTACCAGAAGAGACATCTTCAGATCTGTTACCAGAAGATTTAGTGATGGCCCCCAACTGGGATAGCTTTAAAAGAGGATTAGACAAACTCCTGCAGGACAAGGGTATCGATGGCCACTAGCCATGACAGCTCCATAGCACCTTCGGTTGCTTGGGAACATGAATGGGAGGATGCGACTACCCTCACATCCTTCTTGTGAGCTTTCCAAAGGCAGTCAGCTGGCCATCGTAGGAACAGGCTGTTTGGGATACTGATGAGTTTGGATCAACAACAAAGATTTCTTTCATCACGTCTGGGTACCACAAGTATCTTTTTTTAACAGATAGATACTACATATCCTGCAAATACAAGGGAAATGAACCATGACACTGTTCCTTTGTTTCGGAGCTTTTCCAGATGATTAAAAACATGCACATGGGGGAGATTTCCACACTGATTCCCAGAAAACTTGCAGATGTTAAGTTGTGTGTGCAGATGCCTATTCAGAAATAATCCTTTTTACTTAAATACCTCGGTGATACAACTAGTCTGTTCCCTAAGAGTGCTCAGTTGAAAGGCAACCATTCTGGTGGCTCTTTATACCAGAATTGACCAGGACGGCTTTTCAAAGAGAGGATGCCTTCAAACAGAGGACAGTTCTCCAGCAGCCCTTCGAAAAGAGGCCACATGACCAATTTCTATATCCATTTCAGATCTGTGAATGAACTTGAAAGCTTTCATATATATACAGCAAGGCCCCCCTATCCACGGGGATAGGTTCCAAGCCCCCCAGCAGGGCCTGAAACCATGGATAGCAACAAACACTATATTCATGGGGGTTCAGGGTGCAGGAGCCCCCACAAAAATGGAAAAACCATGACTCGCTCCAAGGAAAAAATGTGACTATCTCTAGAGAAAAATCAAGAATATCCCTAGAGTCTTCCTGCCCACTGAGAGGCAAAACACAAAAATGAGGTTGGCTGGTATTGAGACAAAGAGTGTGGCATCCGCAGTCAGAGTGCGTAGTTCCTTCTGTGGGGGTCCTGTGTCCTGAACCCCTGCAAATGTGGAGCACCAATGGTTAAACTGTGATAACTGAGACAGCAGATATGATGGACCTGCTGTATTTTTTAAATAAAGTCAAGTTTCAGAACTTCACAGTTTAGTAGTATAATCAGGAATCAGGACCAAGCGACCTCTTCAAAAACCCCAACAACAAAAGGCCCAAATAATGAATAACAAACTAATTGTTTTGTTTATTTGAGCATTTCACTTGAGAGGCTCAGGGCTCAGTCCACCCACCTCTGCCCTCAATGGACATGAGACCCTTAACCTGCAGGCTTACCTGCATCCTATGCCCTGAACAAGGTGTGGTTGTGGCCATTTCTGTTGCCACTGCATCTTGTAGCCTGGTTGTTATTTAGATGGCTGTTTTTGGCCACCAAAATAAAGCCCTGGAGAGGGGAGGGAAAGAGGGTGGGCACCAGTAGGAAGCGACAGCCCTTGGCCCCAGCCTCCTCCCTGGCATGCCTGCTTTTCTCCCCTCCAAGGGGCATTTACCACCTCGCAGGAGACAGCCAGCATTGATTGACTGATTGATTTCTAACTCACTCCCATTATCCACACAGTTCCCTCCTATGTGGCAATTCCTTCTTTGCTAGCTCCACGGGTGCCGGGGGTGGGGGGAGCTTGGTCTTTGAAGCTGGACCTCTAAACAGCCCTCCCCAAGAACAACATTAGCGGGCACCATAGGATAGTGGCCTGGTTCACCTGACGAGTTCTGGATGTTGAGAAATGGGCCAAGTGATGACAGCTGATCCCTCCATTTCATAGACACTTGCCTACTGGTGTGTTGTATGACAAATTCAGTAGAGAGATGGAACGAGAAGGCCATCTCCTGAATGGCAGAACAGCATGCAGACCAGAGTGTGGCTGAAAGAGCATCTTCATTGCAGCAGGCCACGTGTGCACGTGTGTCTGTGTAACCTTATTTGCACAGCCACAGCACTGACATGCCGTAAGTAACTCAACAAGACTCACCGAACAGGCAGTGGGAATGCTGAGCCTATCTCAAACTTCAGAAAGAACCTGTGAGCTTGACACTGTGAGAATGGGCAAAGGCAAACCTGAGCCCAGATTTTGCCTGCAATACAAGCACAAGCTTTGGTGAGCAAGACAGCATGAGCAGCAACAAAACTGCATTCCGCTTCTGAGGCCCTGCTCCATATTCTACCACTTTTGAAGGTGGTGAAGAGTATAATTTCTTTCTTGATGACCAAGCAACAAGGGTCAGTTACTTAGGGCTCTACCAGAGAGACACAAGATGGTAGAAAATATAAAATAAACCTCTGTCAAGGACATCAAAGTTTGTAAAGATAAGCCTGGAGACATGTTTTCACACCAGATGTCCTAAAAGGAAGTGTAGGTCAAGATTAGCCATGTATAAAAGTAACTGAATGTTTCCTGCTATGATAGTTTCTGTGACTAATCATTGCAGAAAACTAAACTTATAAATTCACTGTGACAGCTGATCTTGCCTTGAGATGGGCTCACTCTATTGTTTGTGTGCACCTACAATAAAGAGTCCTTTTTATATAAAACAACTTCCTGGTGTTATCTGTCTCTTTCACAGTCAGACAGCGAACAAGAAGGACTTTTTTTACCTCAACAGTAGATTTGGTGGAGACACACAACAGCAGGCTTTCTTGCTACCAGCACTCAGGCTTTGTCGTTAGTATGGCTGTCCCTCTGGAAATTCCTCCAGAATGGCTCCAGTTGGCCTCATTCTGAGTTTAGACAAGATGGCAAAGACGACTCCTCTCCTTCTCCTTCTCCTTCTCCCCTGGATTAAAGGTGAAGAAGAACATATTTGTGGTGGGAATCCTATATATTAGGAATGGATAGGTCCCTTGAGGCTGCATGGTATCAGTGAGGGCGTCCATGCCCATGGATAGCAAACCCATCCCTCACATTTTCCTTGCTTTGTGCTGAGAGAGGCCTGAAGTCCAAAGGGACTTGGCCAGTCCTGGGAGGAACAGCTGCCCCCTGCAGCAACCTAAGGAAATTTCATGGGTCAGATTCAAAATCTCAGGCAGGATGGATTAGGCCTACAGGCCAGAAATTCACACTATGGGATTGTGTGCTAACACACGATGCTTTCAGTTTCTATAAAACAACTTTTTTAAAAAAAGTCCAGTAATCAAACCACCATGCCAACCAAAATAAGACACATATATTTGCCTTTTTATATTCTTATTTTTTGAGACTGCTTTCAAATACTATGCTAAGATACTCATTCTCAGCCCGAGAATCAAAGTGCCGGGACTCTGTACAGGCAGGCACTGATACAAATTCTTGCATTCCACATGGAATAGACTTGACGTGGGTTGATGGGCTGTAACTGATGGTCTATTTTGAACTCTCACTGTTACTTCTGGCTGCCAGTGAAAGCCCCTGGATTTACAAAACCACTTTGTGACTTCTCTGCTCTACAAAAACAAAAGAAAAACCTGGCTCTGAAAAAAACAAATTGTTTGGCTTTGATTGTCTCCCAGGTGCTCCCCTGAATCTTTTTATTCCCATCCTTCCAAGTTGTTGTCAGTAACACAAACAATGACATGAAAAGAAAAACACTTCCAAACCTATCTGTAAGAGAAGATATGTCAAACTATGAAAACCATAAAGGATGTGGAAATGGTGCTGCAGTAAGGAAAGAGAGGTCTTTTCTACAAAAAGCTGTGAATATGTTACATTATTGCCAGTTGCTGAAGCAAAAGGGGGAATAGGAATGGGTTCTCGGACATTAACATCTAGGGCTATTAGGTGGCTATGCCTGTACAGGGATCTGGCAAGAAATCTTGACAGGTGAGTTCGAATTCTATGGACAGGATTGGAGATCAAGTTGCAGGAAGGGTAATGACTGCCTCTAGAAGTGGCTGAAAGGCTGTCAAAAAGGGAAGGTCGAGATATTTTCTCGCTGATGCCAGAGCGTTGGACACGGAATAATCAAGTCAAGTTGCAACAACCCAGGTTCAGGCTAGATATCAGGAAAAGTTTACTAACTGTTAGAGCAATACGACAGTGGAATCAGTTGCCTAGAGAGGCCATGGGCTCTTCCATGTGAGAGACATTCAAAACAAAACTGGACCATCATCCAAGTTGGATGATGTGACTGGTGTCCTGCAACAGCAGGGGGATGGACCCGATGGCCTTCTTGGTCCTTTCCAGCTCTGTTATTCTATGATTCTATGACTACCTGTATTTCCCTTTACACTGAAATGGGCCTTACAAACTAGGTAGCCACAGCAAAGGTACAAACCATTTTGCTGTAAAAGTGAGGTGAAAGGAGGCAGTCCTCTGGTCTGTATTGCAAACATGGTTTTATTCATTTATTTGATTTACACTTCACCTTTTCAACACGAACTACAGTCGAGGTTTCACTGCAGCAATGAGTCTGCCACTGCTGTTATTTTGAATACATCCAAGGACATGCCTAGAAACCTGTGCTAGCTGAGCTCTGAAATGAGCGCTCTAAGGGCCAAACGAGGCCAAAATGGCCATATCAGGATCACTGCAACAGCTGATCAACAAGGACACCATTTTGCAAGAAATCTGCATATGCTGATTTATGTATATAGCTGCAATTCAGAAATAATTATAATTTAAATAGAAATGGAGTACATCTCACCATAGTGTGGAAGATTATGAGCAAGTGACTTGTGTGCTAAAAGCACCTTTGGACTGTTAGAAGTGCTTTTCTTCCATGGATCCTGACAAATATCACCTCTCTGAAGCTCTTATTTGCATTTCAAGGAAAATCTTTCTTGGCTCTGATGAGAGTTTCCTTTGAAATACAAAGAGCATTTTCAGAAAGGTGTATTTTGCCAAGATCATGGCAGGGAGAGCAAGGGTTCAATTCCCCCTCCTTTTCCCTGCATATGGACAACTAGCACATCAGGGAAAGAGCTAACAGA